ATTTTATTCCCATGTTACATACACCAGGAGAGCTTCTTTTCAGGGAACCCAACAGGACTCTGGCCAATAATCCCTTGGGTTCAGCAGTTTTGTAAATCCAGACACTTTTCTTGGCATCGCTTACACTGGCAGTAACCTATGTGTCAGAGCTCCGCTCTGTGGACCACCAACGCATCAGAGCCACCCATGGTGCACTGCAATCATTTAAATTCTTCCTGCTACTCCTTCCATCTTGTCGTCACTCAGCGTCTTGCTCTGCCTGATTTCTGCATCGCTATTTTGGGAATAATCTATAACTGTGCCCTTTGGCCAATTGGAGAGGGTTCATTCTGAAATGCCTGGAGCCAAACCTGCCTGCAGAAAACGGATGTCAAGTGTGTGACCCTGAGCTAGGATCAGTTTCATGTTCCATCATCCAGTCACTGTTTTTGTTTGACCCCCTGTGTCCTTCTCTTAGTCATCTGAAGGGCTTTTATGTATAAATAGAACCCTAATGTTCCAGCTCAGAGCTTCCTAGTGGATACTTGTACACTGTGAAATCCATCCCAACGTTGCTACAACTGTGTGATCCCAATCTCCTGGGACAAATGAGATGATTTAAAGTGATGCCCGGTGAATATGATCACGAGACCCCATTCTCTTTCGTCAGCAAGGGATGGATGGTTCCAGGGACTCAGAGAGGGAAATGCAGGTCAGAATCATAATGCATCTCATCAAGCTCAGAATCCTACGCACACGGCTGCCGCCACCTCATTCTCGATTCAACCCTGTGTGCAGCAGGGCACATGACAAAATGAGAAGCAAGATGTTTTTTCCCCGAAAACCTCAAACCCACTCCTAGGTTTGGACACAGAGAAAGAAAAGCATGTATAATAAGAACACATGTTAGCACTTTCCAAAATGTTTATCCAGTAACAGGAAGGAATTGACTGGCTCTTAGCATTGCACCGAGCATAAGGGAGCCGTCCAAAGGGCAGGGGGACCAGCTCCAAATGCCCCAGGTGGCTGTGTGGTCCTTTGCTATCTGCTTGAAACCACAGCAACCTCTGGGGGACAAAGAGGGCAGTGTTCTGGGGCTGCCCCTGGACAGATTATGCCCATAGGCATGATGGGGACCAGTGTTACCAGGGCAGAGGGGCCCACGTGGAAGTTTACCATTGCACAGACGACGCCCCCGCCCTCCAGCAAGCCCCCGGTGGGCTCACACACACTCTCCCTTCTGGTCGGTTAGGAACTCCTTAGCTGAAGCACAGGCTTACCGAGGACGTTTGGCAAGCACTAGAAAAAGCAGACATGTGCTTGCACAAGCTATCATGTAAAGCTGGAGGTTTTACATCCTATACATGTGTTGGGTGATTGCCCGGTTCTGTGACTGGCTCAGTGGGTGTGCACTGAGTGGCTTCCAGCAGCACAGGGCTGGGCATGCAGTGGGGAGAGGAAGGAACGGAACAGTGCACAGGGCCAAGCAGGGCAAGCATGAGCTGAGCCATATGGTGCAGGGTCCTGGGACGGGGGGCACCAGGGTCCCTGTCGTCTCTCGCTCCCTGAGTTATTGCTAAATACTTCAGTTAACAGGATGCACAGCTGTCCACCCAAAGGAAGTTTGCAGCAGCCCCATTGTTTTTTTGTTTTTGGGGGGTTTTTTTGAGGAAGATTGGCCCTGAGCTAACTACTGCCAATCCTCCTCTTTTTGCTGAGGAAGACTGGCCCTGAGCTAACATCCGTGCCCATCTTCCTCTGCTTTATACGTGGGACACCTACCACAGCATGGCTTTTGCCAAGCGGTGCCGTGTCTGCACCCGGGATCCGAACTGGCGAACCCCAGGCCGCCGGGAAGCAGAACATGCGAACTTCACCGCTGCGCCACCAGGCCAGCCCCAGTCCCATTGTTGGTTACAAATCTGATTCTGATGAATTCTTTTTCCTCATGGGTATACACTTGGAAAGAGGGAAGCTGCGTCTCCCAGCAAGGGGTCAGCCTCCCAGCCTGGACCGCCAAGCTGCTCTCGGGCAACGGCGTGGAGAATGTGGCCCCTGGAGTCTGCTTGGTGGGAGGTGAAACCTTTGCTTTCTTGGGCAGCTTGAATTCTCAAGGCATCGATTTCCTCATGGGAGGGAGGGGTGGAGGCGATGGCAGAGAACGAGCAGGGCTGAGTGGGTTTTCACAGGGAGGAGAACAGGTCCCAGGAAAGTGCCAGTGACCTCAACATCCCAGCTGTGCTTCTTAACGAGTATAACTGGTGTTCAGTTAGACTGTTGATGGTCGGAGGGGAAACAAGGCAGTGGGTCATCCTGAGCATGCAGGACGGCGAGCAGCATCCCTGGCCGCTACCCACTGGACGCCAGTAGCATTCACACAGTTGAGACGACCCCAGGTGCTGCCAGATGTCCTCTGGTGGGCAGAAACGCCCCCAGTTGAGAAGCACCAGGTTAAGGGGATTATTTCGTACCCCGCTGTGAAGCTGGGGGCAGGCATGGGAGATGGCCCTGCGCTCCCTCCTGCTCCCATGGGTCCCTTTGGCGGTGGAGTTGGGGCGAGGAGAAGAACTGAAATGTGTGAGCTTCAGCTTTCCAGATGCAAAACAGCTCTCGCTTGGATTAAGCCAGCTCTGTGTGTGTGCTTTTGGTGAATGGAAACCTCTTGTGTAAATTCATTCCCCCTTCATAATGACGGTAGGATTCCCGGCCCTGTGTGTGCATGGCAGAGACGCCACTCGCTCTGCTCTCTGTCTCCTTCTCCTCCCTCCCTCCAACCTCCCTCCCCAAGCAGCAAGAGAACACATGCACGCAGAGGGAGAGGAGGTGCATTTCACTTGAGCAGGACAGACATGTGTTCAAAAATCCAGCTCGAATATCGCAGAAGGAGACTCGTGGGTGCGAGGGGAAGGGCTCTGAGCCCCACCGGGCAGCACCGGGCGACCAACGGTCTCCGTGATGCCCAGCATTTTAATCAGGGCATGGAGCTCACGTCTGCCTTTTAGCTTTCCTCTGACAAGTGCATGTGTCAGGGAAGTTCATATCCCACCCCACCCCACCCCCAGTGAGCGCGTCACCACTGAGAGCAGCATCTGTCTGTTTCTGGAAAGGGCTAACTCAATTCCTAATGCAATCTATTCACCCAGGGCAGGAAATCACCAAATAATTCAGGGCTGAATTAACTCGTTTCTTCTCCTCTGATGGCTCCCGATTGCGCACCCTGAGACCCCACGGAGGCACACGCGGCTGTGCTGCTCGTTAAATCAAGTGGGAGCCATGGCCTCCTGGGCGCTCTATCCCTGGACGTGGCTGTTGTGCTGACAGCCACACGTGCGGTTTCCAAAGCATCTATGGTTTCTGGAAGGGTGTGCTCCAGGCAGGGGTGGGGACGTCTGGGGCCCTCCTGCCTCTGGACTGGACCTTCCCTTCCGAGAGCTGTTGTAATATGAGACTCAGGTCCCCCTCCCATCTGCCCCTTAGTCACTCTTGACCTTGGACAACTTACCTAACCTGTCTTAGCCTCAGTTTCCTCGTCTGTAAGAGCAAGGTGACAAAATCTGCATTTGGGCGCTATTGAGAGATTTAGAGCAGCTCTCAGTGAGAGTGACTGTGTCCGTTTCCCAGACTTGCCCGTCCACTGGGGGCCCTGACTCCAGAGCAGAGCTCCAGACCTATTGAATCAGAGCACCAGGAAAGGGCCTGGAAATTGGTGTTTTCAGCCAACACCTGGCAGACCCTTCTGATCAGGCAGGATTGGGACAACTCATGCTAAATAGTTACAGCAAGACCCTCTGCCTGGTTCCAAGTCTTGCTGCTGGCATGCCAGCCTGCCAAGTGGACGGCCTCTTGGCACGTTGGCCATCGCCCATGACTTATGTTTCCAAGGTGATTTAAATAAACCCAGATCCTCCATGTCCTGAAATCTACCTGGACGGAAACCCCTCTCAGCCTGCATCTGAGGTGGCGTCGCTGTAGGTCCTGCCCCCCACGATGCCCCACAGCCACTCTGCTCTGGAGCCCACCTCCACAGACTGGCACCCCAAACCTCTCGGGGTACCCCAACTTCCTTCCTTCCGACCACACTCGCTCCTGCACCATCTGCCACGCTGTCCACCTCATTGCCAAGCCTGATCCCAATGCCTTCGTGTTGCTCCTTGAATTGAATCATGGAATCAAGGAATGAGTTGTTGCCCTGCCGAAGAGGATGGAAAATAACCTCCATTGGGTTAGGAAGGCATTTTCAAGAAGGCAGCTGTAAGACCCGAGCGATGAGGGGTGTGGATCCTCTGTGCTTTCTGGGAGGGGTAGCCCCAGGGAAATAAGTTTGGGACCCCCACATGTAGCCCGTTCTCCAACTAGATGCTGGTATTCCCATGGGTTCGTTAGCATTCACAGGAGTGTGTTAGTGTGTTGCAGTGCACAGATGTGTGTAAAGGAACATGACCCAACCCACCTGCGCAGAGGGGTCTGGATGCTGACAGCCAGAGTCAGTGTCCAAGGGAAGTGCCATGGTCCCCCAGAGCACACACAGATCCCGGGATGTGTGGGCGAGAAAGGACCTACGTGGGCATTTCCACAGTGTCCCCACAGAGCTGAAGGGTCCAGGGTGCTGGCTCCCAGGTCACCGGGGAGGGAAGGAGGCACCCAGGAGCAGGGCTCCCCACTGGGGTTGCCGGGGGTGAGGGGGAGATGTGGCTGTCCTCTCAGGTTTTAGCTGAAGATGAAAATTCTACTGCCCAAAAACTCAGTTGGAAACCATTGCCCTAAAATGAAGAATACTTGGCATGTCCCTGAACCCTTAGACCTTGAACTATGACTCTTATATATTTTCATAAATTAATTATATATCATCTATATCAATATAAGATGTATTTTACCTATGTACTCACAAGTATGTCAGGGTGTTGAGCGGGGCTGCTGTCAGATGGAACCTGAGACAGTGCGTGTACAGATATTTCTGCTGCTCCTCGGCGTTCTCCGGTGTCTCAGTGGCTCCTCACTGCCCTTTCTTGCTCTCCCTGCAGAAGCTGTACCGGAAGGAGGTCAAGCCACCCTTCAAACCTGCAGTGGGCCGGCCCGAGGACACCTTCCACTTTGACCCTGAGTTCACCGCACGGACGCCCACAGGTGTGTTCCTACAGGGAGCATTCTTTCTAAGGGGCCGTCCTACCCGGCCAGGGAGGGGCAGATACTAGGAACCAGAGAGTTATGTGCAAGAACACTTTCATGGAAAATCACAGTCAGTTCTGTTTGATTTTCTTGTTTCCTTTGCCCAATCATAAAGACGTAAGTCATGGAATCAGTTCTTGGTTATCCCCCACGTGACAACCAGTTTGGAAATATCCAGGTGTTCTATAGACACTAGCCCCTCCTGCCTCTTGGTCTGCGTGGCCAACCCAGTGACCACCTCTTTCAGAGGGACACACACGGGCTAGCACGGGAAAAGAAGCTGGAGACACTGGAAATCTCTCATTTAGAGAGTTTTTGTGGAAAGAGGAAGGCCATCAGTTAGGTCTATAGATTTGGAAAGTATAGATCTTGTTCGTGCTAAAAGCAAAGACTTGTTTGAAAAGTTGTATCAAAACTGCTGGATCCCAGAAAAGCAGATGGACACGTAAATTTAGATTTCATGGTTTGTCTAAAATTACTCTTAGGGTCTGCCAAATTTAATCCAAACCGGTCGGCTCCTTTTAAAAGTTATCCTTTTGTGATATTAATGAATTAATATTAATGAATTATATTAATAACAGCTTTTTTAAAGATATGATCCTTGTCTTAGGCTGCTCAGGCCTCCATAACAAAATACCGCAGACGGGGCGGGTTGAACAGCAGACGTATATTTTGGCTCCTGGTGAGGGCTCTCTGCCTGCCTTGCAGACGACCACCTTCTCTCTGTATCCTCACTTGACCTTATTCTGCACAAGGAGAGGGCAAGCTCTGGGGTCTCCTCCTCTTTTTATAAGGCACCAATCCTGTCAAATCAGAGCCCCCCTCTCATGACCTCATTTAATCATAATTATGACCCTAAAGGCCCCCTCTCCAAATACAGTCACATTGGGGGTTAGGGTGTCAACATGTGAGTTTTGGGGGACACAGTTCAGTCATAACAGTAATGGTAGGGTGTCAAGCCCCTTCTGGAGATTTGGGTGAGGCAAGTTCAGCCAGTTGGGGGTTATTGGGCTGTGTGATGTTTATCCAGGGGGGGTCTTTTCTTACTACTTTTGAATACGAAATTTTCTATGATTTTTAATCATGAAACAAATAAAGCATCAAATACAAGATATCAGGTAGTTGAAGCTGGAACAGAGAATCTACCTTGCTCTCTGTGGGCGTAGGGTGTCGGGGGAAAGCCCATTTCCCAGACCACGAATGAGCTGTGTGCCAATGGAGAGCATAGCAAGCCTTTCGTGGGGCTTCTAATGTACCCGGAGCAGCTCCTGACCTAAGCAACATTGGCTCCAAGAAGAGGCAGGAAGCTGATTCTGGGCGCTATCAGTCAGGGAGCCATGAGACAGACTGTTCACTAATTTCTTTTGGGTCCTCCTGCAGTGCCCAGATAAAACCAAGACTGGCATCAGTGACAAAGCTTGAGTGATGCCGGCCATCAAAATTTTGGGTAGTTGCTGCTGCCATGTTTGATGAGGCTGCCCAGGAGGAGGAAACATCTAGTCTGTTCTCTCTAATAGAGGTGATGGGACTTCCGTCCAGTTGTCATCTTCCTTAGAAAGTATTCGTGTGTCGGGGTTGGTCCTTATTGTTGACAGTTGACCCAGTTCACGGAATCGGGTTACTTTTTGGCTTCAGAGGTTGGAAGAAGAGGGCGGGATTTGGGGATCCCATCTTGGCTCTGCCCACAGCTCACCTGAACAGGTCATTTTATTTCTCCTCCTGTGAATGTGAAAGGAACACAAAAGCAACCGGCTCAAAGGACACCTCCTATGAATGCTTATGCAAACCTCCCCGTCCTTAATGAAATGTGCAGTGTTTTATCACAAGCCTCCATCCTTTGGAGCTAGGCGTTTAAAATACTGAAATAAGGACCATCCTTGTGCCGCCTGTTAAGGAAATGCTAATACAGCCAACTCTGAATTATTCACACATGCCCCCTTTTTATATGATCCACGAAGAATTTAAACTCCAACCTAGTCGGCCAGTGTGACCCGCAAGCTGTTTTTTGAGCACCTTGTAAGTCTTTTGTGCACATAGAGAATTCAATTTTATTTTAATATTAGCCTAAGGGAAACATAATTAGACACAAGTCATTCTAATGGCTTTTTTATTCCTTACTATTTTGAATTCTCCAATCAATTTTACTTAAAGTTAATTTATTACGCCATATGGTTTGCCTTTGAGGTAGGTAGTAATTGAAGTGCTAAGGACACAGAAAAATCATTCACTCTGTGTTGACATATTTATAAGAGGGTAGGATTTTCTAAGCACATGAGCTGGGTGCAGAGCTGGGTTAATGGGAAGTGGGAGCGATGCGATTCTGAAATGGCAGATACGCCACATCCGTATGTTAGGCTTGGACGCACAGTGGGAATTTCTTATAGGAATCTTACTATCTTTTTTTTTTTTCAACATAAGCCAACGCTAAAGTTAGTTGATGTCCCCGATCACACATCCACTGCCCATTAGAGCACGCTGACTGCCGAGAGATGCCCGTTTAAGATTTAAAAACCCATAAAACATATCACACAAGTCAATCAACAAATGTTGATCGTACTATGTTTAAAATTTCCTTTTGTCCAACCCATATTTTTGCTCTTCTTTAAGTACTGTGCTAAAAATCAGCATCCCCTGGGTGATTATCAAACATTTTAAATCCTATTTATGCCACCCATCATTTAGTCACCTTCTGGCCACATCGATCAAACGTTAGCTGATTTAACCTTGTGTAAAGATCCGTCTGAACTTCAGGAGATTGCTGAGCCTGTCAGCCACCTCTCCTCTGTCTGTTCAGGGAGAGCAGCCCTGGGCAATGGAAGGCGTGGCCCTGCACTTCACGCCTCCTTATAGTTAAAAGTCATTGCTTATTTGATCTACAGATTTTCCACTCAATAATGAAAGTGTATCAGTTCAAGTTAACAGGGCTGTACCCTCCCCCCACACACACTCTGAGATGCTGAAAATGAGCCTTCAGATCTACTCGCCCTTGACATTCGCACGCTAATTCCCTAGAACGGGCTCAAATTCTTCAACCTAAAACCCTAGGAGAGGACACCAAACCATCTCTGGGGGTTGATGATTGACTTATGATGTACCCATTGTGCTTGGAGGTCACTGCATGAAGCACGTGGTAGCTTAGGGGATTTTTAAGAACAGGCAGACCTCCAAGCCAGAATTCTGTGCGGGGTGGGAGAAGAAGACACAGCACAAAGCGAAGCTGTGAGCCAGAGCCCACCGCCTGGAGCTCCCGGAGCCGCTGCAACCCAGCAGTCTTCAGACGGCACGTGCATTGCCTCTGCTGTCTCTGAGTGTGTAATTTCCAGATTCTAAAAACTACTCAGGTGAGCCTTCTGTTTTTTAATCAGCTTCCCTCATCTTGCACATTGGCAGTTTCTTTCCTAGCAGAGTTGACTCTGATCACATTAGTGACTGTGAAGTCCCTTGTGATGTGACAGGTCAAGGGCTGAGTTTTGTGGTCCATGGTGAATTTGAGCCCAGGCACACGGAGCCTCCCCCACACACACAGGGAGGCGAGGGCTCCCTGGAGGGACAGTGTGGGTGCTCACTCCTTCATCTGTAGGGAGGGCACAGGGCTGAGCTTTGGGGCATGGAAGGAGCCACTTATCGCCTTTCTCCCCAAAACACTATGCTCAGGAATAAAAGCCGCGTTCTCTGCGACAGCCCACCCCCTCACCCACCTGCTCCACCGGGCAGGGATAAAACTAGAAACTGGACTGTACTGTTTCCATGTCAAAATAAAGTCTCAAAACAAAGAAAAAAGATAAGAAGTAGAAAAGCAAAGACCCACTCAGAGGGCCTCTCCAGGGCTGTATATATAAGATGTACTTAGAATTCTTTGCATTTATACGTTGTCGGAAAAAATTTGAATACGTATATACTTTATATATTGTTCTAGATTTATATATTTACAATGTATACATTATAGGAGTTATGTTATATTGTTTTATATTGTTTATTATTTTACTGTAATATATATATTAAAATATATTTTTTTTTAATTTTTCTTACAATGTGGATGTTCTCCAGCTTGGTTTGTCTCTTTGGACCTGACAAACTGTTGGGACTATCCTCCCATGACAGCGTGTCTCATTCCAGTTAGGGTAGACTTCCTGGCCTTGCATCCTTTCCCAACAGAGCATCCGGATATGGATGCACCATTGCTGGTCATGCCCATGATTTTTTTTTTTTTTTCATTTTTTTTTTATTGAGTTAATGATAGGTTACAATCTTGTGAAATTTCAGTTGTACATTAATGTTTGTCAGTCATGTTGTAGGTGCACCACTTCCCCCTTTGTGCCCACCCCCCACCCCACCTTTCCCCTGGTATCCACTAAACTGTTCTTAGTCCACATTTTTAAATTCCTCATATGAGTGGAGTCATACACAGATTATCCTTCTCTAACTGGCTTATTTCACTTAACATAATTCCCTCAAGGTCCATCCATGGTATTGCAAATGGAATGATTTTGTTCTGTTTTGCAGCTGAGTAGTATTCCATTGTATATATGCACCACATCTTCTTTATCCATTCGTCTGTTGCTGGGCACTTAGGTTGCTTCCATGTCTTGGCTATTGTAAATAATGCTGCAGTGAACATTGGGGTGCATAGGACTTTTGGGATTGCTGGCTTCAAGCTCTTTGGATAAATACCCAGTAGTGGGATGGCTGGATCGTATGGTAGTTCTATTTTTAATTTTTTGAGGAATCTCCATACTGTTTCCCTAGTGGGTGCACCAGTTTGCATTCCCACCAGCAGTGCATGAGGGTTCCTTTTTCTCCACAACCTCTCCAACATTTGTTACTATTAGTTTTAGATATTTTTGTCATTCTAACGGGTGTAAGGTGATATCTTAGTGCAGTTTTGATTTGCATTTCCCTGATGATCAGCGATGGTGAGCATCTTTTCATGTCATGCCCATGATTTTCTAATGGTAAATATTTACACTGTCTCCAATTTTTTTTGCTGTGTCAGATATTCCTAACACAAACATTTGTAAGCACTTTTGAAAGTAGTTCTGTAGGATAAATTCCTGGATGTAAGAGTTGCTTTTCAAAGGACACGTGAATTGTAAATTTTGATAATTTTGAAACTTCCATACTACCAAATCAACCCTCCTAAAGGTCATGCCAGCTTCTGCTCCCGCCTACCGTTATGACAGCCACCCTCTTGCCAAACTGGGATGTGACTGATGGCTTTCATTTTTGCTAATTGGTTGGGCAAAGTGGCGTCTCAGTTGAAAGCGTACACACCTGCTCATCAGAAAGTACTGTTTTTCTTCCCTATCGTAGCAATCAGCACCCCATGCTTTCCCCGTTTTTCTGATGGGCACTTTGCTCTTTTCTCATTGATCTCTGGGAGCTCTTTGCATAAGAGAGAATTTAGCCCCTTGCCTGTTATATTTGATGCATATATTTTCTCCCTGTCAGTGATTTATCCTTCTCTTTTTTTTCACTTATTGATAACTTGAAATGGGACCAGTGTCGCAGCAGTCAAGCTTTCAGACAAATCATACAGAGCTTAGAGAAGTCATAATCGAAGTAAATCCCTCGGTTCACACTCCTGTCCACTGTGGACAGGAGCGGCTTTCCCCGAATCTCCCTGAAGAGCAGAGCGCCGACTCGTGCTGCACACAGAGCTGTGCAGGCTGTGGGACAGATAGGGCAGGAAGAGTCATTTATGCCCCCAGTTCTGTCCCGGCACACAGTTCCTGTTGAACCTAGAAACCCGGAAGGCGGCCTCCATGTTCATTGGTCCAGGAGCTGACAGCTCCACCCTGAGGTTCCTAGTGGCCTCTGTCTCAGTGTGGAGTGGGGAGGGGCAGAGGGTTGTGGTTAAGAATACTAAGTTTGATTTGTAATTATCCTAAAGTGTTTGTTCTAGGCATTTTTGCCATTTAAAAATCAAATTGCTGAAACCACCCAAAATAAAGTGTCGTTTCATATGGTTCAGCATTTCTAAACCTTTGTTTTATCTCCTGTTCCAACACACGCATACTAAACAAATGCACACCACGTGCTCATATGCGGGCACACACACAGCACACGTTGTACACTTGCACATATATCCACACAGCACACAAACTCCCTACACACACAAACACACACTCACACCGCACACTCACAGTGTTACTGCACCACACAGTCACTCAGCTCCTCCTGGAAGGCTGAACTCTCTCATTGTCACTTGCAGACTCACCTGGCGTCCCCCCCAGTGCCAACGCTCATCATCTGTTTAGAGGATTCAGTTTCGTGGCCTCAAGCCTGGTCCAGGAGCCTTCGCAGCAAGATCAGCACAAAACCACGGTTCCCCCCATCGTGCAGGTAATCCCGTGGGGCTGGACTCGTTTGTCTCCTGCAGCAGGTTGGGGTGAGGAGGCACCAGCCCCGATGCTGCAGGTGGACTGAGAGCCGTCTCAGCCGAGGCGGGGGCACTTTCCATCACAGACTCTTTCCTCAGCCTCCCAGGTGCTAGTGTGTGTCTGCCGTGTGATGTGAACCTGGCCCTTAGCCCTGCTCCACATTCTTCCTAAGGAGGGGAAAGAGTCTCAAGACGGGTGTGACCAGGGTCGGTCTGTGGCCGGAGCCCCCAGGGGGTCAGACTTGGGCATCTTCACTGTGCAGAGTCAAGGCGGTACCCCAAAAGAGTGGTTCAGTTTGTGGGTGCCATTTCTCTGTTGTGAAATGTGCTCTTTGGGAGGTCAAAGATGACATTTTTATAAGGAGAAATGTAATCAGAAATAGGGAATTCTAAGAAGGAAATATGATATATTTTACTTAAGAACCAAGTCGAGGGGCCCGCCCAGTGGCGCAGTGGTTAAGTTCGCACGTTCCACTTCGGCGGCCGGGGGTTCACTGGTTTGGATCCCGGGTACGGACATGGCACCGCTTGGCACGCCATGCTATGGTAGGCATCCCACATATAAAGTAGAGGAAGATGGGCACAGATGTTGGCTCAGGGCCAGTCTTCCTCAGCAAAAATATTGGCGGCAGTTAGCTCAGGGCTAATCTTCCTCAAAAAAAAAAAAAAAGAACCGAGTTGAGGTAAATTGGATGGCTTTGGAGTTCCAAGGCATTTCTCTCCCTGAGGCCTTTTGGAAACACACAGCATCTGTAAAGGGGACACTTGGTGTGACGGTGAATACCCTTCTTGGTGGCTTTGTGTCTACACTCAGAGCAGATAGGATGGAGGATTGTATGTATGGGCAGATGTGGGTGGTGAGTGGGACATCATGGGGTCAGATTTCCAATTAGATGTTGACATCTAGATACCCACTCTGGACACAAGGGTGAGCCCCACACGCCCTATATCTACCACAGCTTCTGTCCTTTCTCCAGATTCTCGGTCTCTCAGATCTTTGGGGAAACATGGCCGGTCAGCTGACACAGTGTATATGGTGTCTAAAAATTCAGTCACAACCCAAGAGGTCAGGGAAGTTGGGATTTCGATCTGAGACCATCATTCACTAGCTCCGTGCCCTTGGTCAGAGGACTGTAGTAACTCCTGGCCTCGGTGTCCTCGAGTGCACAATCTGGAACCTTCCTTTGTACTGCATTCTCTGTGCTGGGCTTGTACCTGGGCATGAGAGAGCTCTGACCACGCTCTCTGCCCTTGGTCTCTCTCTGCAGCAGTTACACGGGAACAACATCCACTTCACCGATGGCTATGAGATCAAGGAGGACATCGGGGTGGGCTCCTACTCCGTGTGCAAGCGGTGTGTGCATAAAGCTACTGATGCAGAGTATGCCGTGAAGGTAAGGCCGAGCGCGTGCCGTGGGCAAGGGTGTGTGTGGGTACGATGTGCACCTGTCGCCACTCAGGGTGCCCTGACCCCAGCAGGCGCGACTGAACCCTGGCCAACATCCTCTCTGGTCACCATTTTCCAAGCTCTGATGCGATGGAGTTCAGTTTGCTCTGATCGCAGGCCGCCTGTTAAAATTATCGTGCAAATCATGAATATTTTCAGTTCTATCCAACATATAGGTACTGATCACCTTTAGTAGCTTTATATATATATAATATACACTGGAATAAAAGCTTTGGACACTAGAGTTGGGGACAGGCATTGCATTTGACAAAGCAAGGGCAGGAAAGAGGAAAGGAGGGAGGGAGGAAGCTGTAGTCACCAAAAATTAAAGACAGAAATAGAAGCACAAATTGGTGGTATTTGCAAACACTTAAGCAGAGAGCTGGCATTTTTAGTATCAATCTTCAAGAACAGTAAATAGTAACCATGATCCATAATCCGACTTGGCAATCTCTGCTTAGTACCTTTAGCTTCCGTAATTGTTGCTAGATTCAATATTTGATCGGGAATCCAAAATCTCAGTTTCTTGAGTTTTCTGGTTGGTAAAATGTGGGTTGAAGCTCAAACTTCCTGCTAAAATTGGAATCTAATTTATGTAAAAAGCATAAGTGGTACCTTCTCTCTACAAGAAAGTGAGAGACCCTCTGACTTCACCGCTCTCCTGCTAAGCTGAACTCGAGGCTCTTGAGGAACCGGGTCCAGCCCTTGGGGTCATCGTGACCAGACACACTCTGGCTTATCCCAGACATGTCTGTGGCACACGGCACTGCTCCTGCTCTGCGAAGAGCATTTGGGGAAAGATGGAACCTGCGTATCAGGCAGTGGTGTAAAAGGAGTAGTCCCATCCATTGTGATTTTCCTAACCTTTGAAGAAATTGTTCAAAATGCAGACTACAGTAGGATGGCCGCATTCCATTGTAGCTCACCCACAGCTCCACTGGCGTTTTGTGAAAAAGGGTTTTTGAAAAAGGTAGACCCTCAAGAATAGCATGCATATCCACGGGGGACGTCTACCTGGTGTTTCTTGCACTGAGAAAATGCTGGGCCCTGTCACAAACAACACCAGCCCAGAAAACAGGCCCCTTGGTTTAGTTTGGGTTGGAAATATGTGACGTTTTGGCAAGTTTATCTTGAAATCCTCAAACACAAAAGAACGTTTAAATACGGAAGAACAATTAATTTGTTGAGTTCCGCTGATAGATTCTCCATGTTCAGCCTGCCCAGCGTCTTGAACACACGGAGGGGAGGTTGAAGGAAGGTAATACAGCATGATTTACAATTCCCGCGAGAACTGGGTGGGGGTGACACTGAGGGTTACCGTCTAACGGTGGATTCATGCACAAGGGAAAACTAGGTTGTGTCATGAAGTGGTTCCCTCTACAGCCTGGGCACGTGGGTTTGATATATTTCCAGGATGTGGACTGTTGTGGAGTTTTATTTTTCCTCATCCTTGGAAGGGTTTAAAGGAGAGCTTGGATGGACGCCCACCGTTTTCACATCCAGATGCTGTTTCCATGTACGGCTGTGAGGATGGTGGAGGGTAGAGACCTGCATTCTGCCTCAGACGAGAGAATTTCATTTGTACTTCGAAATATATTGCACATACGCTTCATAAGCATGCATGAGCTTCTTAGAATTTTTTTCCACATGAGTCACTTCTCATGGAATTTCTTTAGTTTATCGGGTGACCAGCAGCAATCCTAGAAAAAATGGCTGCTTCCAGGGAGCGCAAAGAAACAAATCTATTGTTTGGCCGGCTGAGGGACCACAGTGCCTTCCAGAAAACAGCCTGCTATTATGAGGCTGATCAGCTAGTGTTTTGTGCTTCTGAAAATAAATCTCCTGTTAACAAAGGCAGTGGTATGTTTTCCACTAACGTTCTCATATCCAGCTCTCGTAAAGAGACACCATCTGAATTCGGCTTTGTTAAATGGCTTATAACTCAGTCCTCAAAGATGCGGTTGAAGCCAAACCCCGTGATGGCAATTTCTGAGGAATTTCAGCTACAGTTCTGTCCAGGCAGAGAAGCCAGGCACTGTAGCTGCAGCCGATGGTAGAAGAACCAGGTCCTCCTGCTTTTGGACAAGCCTCAAGCTCCTTGGACAAATCAAGCTGGTGGACGTTACAGGGATTTCCCTCATCCTCTCTGAGACTACAGTGGCTCATTGTTTACTGTCTGGAAGATGCTTCAATTAACCAAGCACAGGAGGGCACGGGACTGCGCGAACACCAGCGAGTTTCCAGTGAGGTGAAGCTCCTTGCGCAGCACGACCCCAGGACCTGGAGCTGTTTCAGAAGCACGTTTAAGCTGCTTATTGGAAAGATCCATTTATCCAAGGACAGACACCCAGGTTTAGATTTCCCTCAAAGGTGAAAGAGCTGGCAGGAATTTTGTGGCAAAGAACTCATCATTTCAGATGGCCCATTTGTTACCCAAACTGCCCACATGCCACAGATCGCTATGCTGTTTGGTGTTCAGCATTTTCCGGGTAGAATGTAACTGAAATATTTTTCTGCTTTTTTCTGCATCCGCTGACCTGTTGATAAGTAGCAGTATTCTCTCTTAAGATTGGAGCAACTAGGAAACAGCAAAATGAAGTGTGTTTTCTAATGTAACACAGACGGAAGAACGTGGCGCTCAACGGCTTTGGCCCCTGAGTCAGATTTCCGTTTGACAAACGCCCTGGAATTTGGCGGCCCCTCTCTCCGCGACCACGTGAACAATTTGCAAACCCAGCTATCCAAATGCTTGGATGGAAAAGGGTGTCTGTTTCATTTGGAGAAGCAGTCCATTCGGAGCCCGTCAGGGCCTCCTCATGCAAGGATGTGGGTGATTCAGAAACTCCCCCACTGAGTAACGAGCAGAAAAAAAAGTCTGCAATCTTGATTGAACAATAGAACTGAGGCCAGAATACGGTGGTTTTTGCCTGGGGCAGTCATGATCAGTCAGGGTGATTTGGCCCCCCCCTGCAGACACTGGGCAGTGTCTGGAGACATTCTGGTTGTCACAACTGGGGTGTGAGTCACTGCTGGTGTCTAGTGTACAGAGGCCAGGGCTGCTGCCTCATATCCTGCAGTGCACAGGATAGCCCCCCAGTGCTCCCACAAAGAATTCTCCAGCCCAAAATGTCAGTGGTGCTGAGGTTGAGAACCCAGCCTAGAGCATCCTTCTGGGAGTCAGGGGATGGGTAGCTCAAGCAGATAAAGTCCGGCAGGCTGATATGGGGGAGATGAGAGGGAGGTTTTCCTTCTCTGTTCAGCCTCTGCTTATTGTTTGATAGCAGAATGACAGTCTCACCAACAGCTTAGCACTTCCCACCCTCTATGCAGGGGCAGGGCAGCCCCTCACTGTGACGGAGCCGGGAATCCAAGTGTGGGTCCTTCTGAGAAGGGGTCAGGGCCAGCTCTTAACTCCACGAAGATCAGACCAGCAGCCTCAGAGCAAGTATGGGATGCAATACTTTTCCTGTTCTTGGAAATATCATTGTGTTTTGCTTTGTCTATTTCTGTATCTTATCGGTACCTAATTTTGCCACTCTAATTACTGTCGTCCTATTGACCACGTTTAAGGCTCCATTTAAACCAATCTTCCCAAGTTGATTCCCAGTGAACTCGACTGCTGGTTGGCCGTTATTCTCAGCTGCATTTTTATACAAGGGCCTAGAGTGAGTGAGACCAGTTGCAGCTACCGCTTAACAGAACTTTTAGCCCACGGAGAGTAGGGACTCAATCAGAGTTGGTTCAATCAGAGTCTGAACCCTCAGGATTGTTCCTCCCTACGAGCTATGGCAAACAACACGACAACTCTTCTTTTGGCAGAATCTGGCCTCAGACGGTGGAGATGGGGTACTGACCCTCACTTCTTCACAAACACCCCTCAGGTCGGACATGGTGTGGGACCTCCCGCCAGCGCACCCGCCTCGTGCATTCTGTGCTCTCAGTGCCTCCTCTTCCCTTTGTCAGACACGCTACAGTTGAACGATGTGCCCTCCTTTCTAAGAACTCAGAGCTATTTCCTCGGGACAAAACAGCTCGGTGGTCTAATGTAGGTTTTCATAACCAGCCACGTAAGGCTCATGGTGGGAGATGAAATTGGACCCGACTTAGAAATAACATGACATAAAACTGCATAGATGCCCAGGCGTGAATGCACCTTTCATTTAAAATAGCATTAAAATGGAGTCAGTTCTTGAGTGCAGAAGGAAACTACGACTGCATAGGATTCAAAGGAAGGAGAGAGGTGCATCTGAAAGGAAACAATCGTTGCTTTTCTTATTCAATCAAGGGTGCTGGACTCACTTTGCGAGAATTGAGTGAGAAGATTGCTTTTATTTTGTTTTTGAGTCTTTGTGGCTTAATTTGATCAGGCATATATTGTAGACAGTGCCAATCTGTGTAAAAGGAAGGGCTCCTGGCATTGTGTTGGCTGGGGGAAGTACATAGAAATATGTAAACGTATATACACATGTCGGAGCTGACTGACTACACGAAAGTTGCCTTGTGTTGCTTATGTCTCAACTTCTCCTAAGCTTACGTGGGTGTACCTCGAGAGAGTGCTGGACAGTGTCTGCTAATGACTCAAGTTTTTATATAGTGCAGGGTGTAGCATCAGAGGCATAGTGCTAACTTACATACCTGAGGTACCAATTTTGCCACCTTGATCCTCTTTTGCAAAACACGAACCTCATAAACTTATAGGCAGCAAAAGGATCCAATGACTGAAGCTCATGAGACCAGGAGCAGCTGACGTTAGATAGAATTCAGATGTCGCAAATTGTATTACGTTGTGTATTGCATCGTATAACAATGATGAGGAAGAGAGTAAATAGCGCTCACTGTATGCTACATGCCGTTCTAAATGCTCTGTATGTGTTAAGTCATTGACTCCTCAGAACCCCGTGATGTAATTATTTTCATCGTCCGCTTGAGGGAACGGAGACCCAGAGG